GCCACGCTAGTAGTAACAGGTGCCTTACTAGTAGTAACAAGAAGCTAGTAGTAACAAGAAGCTAGTAGTAACAAGTGCCACGCTAGTAGTAACAAGTGCCTTACTAGTAGTAAGAAGAAGCTATTAATTTAAAATTAATTTAAGTCTAATCCTGGCTGCTCCCATCCACAATCGACCGGAGCTCTTCCTGCCCAACGGACGAAGCTCGAGTCCATCAACGGAACTGTCACACACCGAGCTTCGAAGGGGCCTTGTCATGCATCCATTGTGTGTCGAGCACGTTCAAGCGATTCACGCAATTTTGCACCTAAAAAGTGTCAGACGTGAAGCTCAGCGCCGCAACTCAAATCCAAATTGTTTCTTGGGTGAGGGCACTGCCCCTGAGAAGCTGAAACACTGCTGAACATCTCTGATATGCTTCTAGCTTAGCAGTGGCCCAAGCAAACTTTGGACACGGCCTTACTCCAGCCCAGTTCAATCGCCGTCCATTCGGTGAGAACAAGAACACTGAACTGCCGTTTGCAATGACTCAACTGCGTTGGCCGTCACAGCAACAGGCTGTCACTCGGTCTGGCCAAGATAAGCACCTGTCTCGCTTAGTTTTCTTTCCAGATCAAGCACCCACCATCTACGAAAGAACATGAAATGAAGCCGAAGCAGCCGAAATGGGTAAAGACCAGCGAAGCAAATGAAAAAGAAAACAACAAAAGCCATCCGGGCATTCCCAGGCTGGCAGACAAGCATTGGGAACCGAAAGGAAGCAAATGCCCCAGACTCAGAGGCACATGTACTGTAATGAAGGCAAACAAAGTTCTAGAAGAATGAAAAAGAAACAAAAAGAACTGCCAAAGTGAAAAGCACTGTCCACCAGGAAATGAAAAGCACAAGAGCCTCACCGGCTCGCGGTCTCTTTGGTGCTCTTGTGTTCGGCATGCAGAGAGGCTACGTGTGGAGCCCTTGGACACAATCGACTGGGAGTAGCTTCTTGTTACTACTAGTAAGGCACTTGTTACTAGTAGCGATGCACTTGTTCCTAGTAGCGTCCTTACAGAGGCTGATGGGAGTGAGGGAAAAAAGACCTGAGAAATACGACAGGCCTCCAAGCTGGAAGCAATATGGCCTCCAACCCACTAGCGATATGGCCTCCAACCAACCTAACATCTTTCTTCCTGAGCTCTCGAATCTATATAATCCAAGGTTTGCTTTTGAGTCTCTGAGCGATCTCCTGTCTGTGGATGCAGACTTCACTGTAGGACTTGCACCTCATCTCTCATTCGCAAGGCATTCTCACTGAGCTCTCGAAGCTCCTGAAGCTTGAGAGTGGCAGTAACAAGGGGCGCTACGTTCGTAGCAAGAAGCTACTAGTAGTAATGTCAGGAGCTACGTTCGTAGCGTCCTTGCTCCTAGTAGCAATGCCCTTTGTTCCTAGTAGCAAGGGCAGTTAGTTCGTTGAAAAAGTTGTAGTGCTCATTATTGGCTTCAGTAAATTCTTCTCCTGTCCGTCTCGTAAAAGGTGTCAATTCATCAATCATGTGCTACCCTAGGAATGACTCTTTTGACTTGTCAGGAAATCGTAGCCCGAGCGCTGTGAGGACTTTTGATGCCCCCCACCAACACTGCCATGTTTGAACTTGAATAGATGCTTGTATGTCCCGTTTCAACCACCTGCAAGTCAAATTGTGCCAGCTTCTCGGCAAAAGCACGCACATCTTTCCTGAGATCGATGGGCTAGGGGGACATGACATGCATACGAAGCTTTGCTTCAGAATCCTCTCGGATACCAAGACAATGTTTTACCGTGCATTACGGAGACTTTATCCAAGTGTTTGCACGCAGTATCTGCGCCAGTCAAGCAGAAAAACATCTTTCCCAAGTGGCTCAGTATCGTTCTGTTTCTTCATGACTGCCTCATGGACCGCAACAAATTGCAGTGACAGTCTCTGATAGAAAGTGGGAAAATGAGAGGGATGTATGAACACTGTGTGTAATGCTGACCCAAAGCATTCAGAAAAAAGATGAGACGATGATGTGCAATTGAATACCAGAAAGCCTGGTCTACCTGTCCAAGTTGTAACAAACACGTTAAGAGAAAACAACTAGATGGAAGGCTCATGCAAGCCCTGTTTTCATGAGGTTTTCTCATACCGTCTCCGGCCTCAATTGCCGGACCAACTTCGTCATAGATGGTCGACTCGCACTGCCAGGGGCACGAGCGTAAATGGACAGAGCATGCTGTGAATCTAAAGATCCAAGACCGACAAACCGAAGATGTCAACACACCCACCAGGAGGACGCTACTAGGAGCAAAGGGCATCGCTACTAGGAGCAAGGACGCTACTAGGGGCTCCTGGCCTTACTACTAGGATCAAGAAGCTATTAGAAACAAGAAATCAAAAATGACACAGGTCCATCACTAGCATCAAAACAAAAGTATATATAACTCGTCTGCTAATTATTTCATAGTCTTGAGCACTGTGAAGTCAATCACTAGCTTCATGAAACCAAGGAACACCATCACCCCTAACCAAAGGAGTTCTGCCAAATAGTAGGGCTACTCGCTAACAGGAATGCTTCAGCAATGCAGAAAAAAAAAACGAAAGCACAAAATCTACAGAATCTTTTCCTCACAGCACAGTCATTCACTTGACCTGATCGTCAAGTCCCGCAGTAATCTCGCAAGATGTGAGGGTCTCGTCGGAGATTCTTCTCGGTCTGGTGAATTGTGCTGCGACTTTTTGGCAAGTGCCACACTCAAGGCCACTAGCAACCAGCCACAACTGGCCACATAGAAGCCACCTCCCTTCTCCATGTTTCTCCACTCCTTCTTCGCTTTCGGCTAGCTGGAATTCTTCCTCTACTTGGCCGTGCCGTAGCGAATAGGCCTGAAAGTAAAGCCGTGCTCCAGCGAGCGCTTAAAGGAGTACTTGGACCAAAAGAAAAGCTGTTGAAACTTTCACAAACTCTTGGATCTGCCTCACGTTCACTTGAAATCCAAGCTCTTCAGCTGGACGGCCACGGTTGCAGCCGAGGCGCTTTTTAAGTCCCATCCACTCTGGAAGGCCTGTAGAACCTGCTGTTCTCTTGAGAACTCGGAAGCCCTGGTCGAGGTTTGGAACCTGAAGCGGTTGGAAACGCAAGTGAGAATGAGAGGACTAGGGCTCCTGGCAGTACTACTAGGAGCAAAGAAGCTACTAGGAGCAAAGGGAATCGCTACTAGGAACAAGGACAACAGGTTTGATTCTGTAAATAACTCCTAGCGATGGCCTCCAACCAAGAAACGATGGCCTCTAACCTAAAGAGCGGTGGCCTCCAACCTAGAAGTCATAGCCTCCAACCTAGAAGCAATGGCCTCCAACCTAGAAGCGATGGCCTCCAACCTAATAGCGATGGCCTCCAACCCAAGAGCGATGGCCTCCAACCTAAGAGCGATGGCCTCCAACCTAAGAGTGATGGCCTCCAACCTAAGAGCGATGGCCTCCAACCTAAGAATGAGAGCCTTACACAGCTGCTCCATTGTTACCGCAAGAACATATCTATTTTTCTGAATGCTTTGGCATTGCGCTTGGGGTGGGGTTAAGGCCAGTATGCTTTGTTTTTTCGAATGTGTCTTCCCTTTTCTGGTCTGTCTTGCCTTTTCTTCTTCTCTTTTCCCTCTTGTTAGTCGAAACGGCTTTCAGCCATGTTTTGAATGTTGAGTCCAAGCAATCGAAGCGGATATCTGCGCATATCTGGCCTTCGCAGGTCCTCGCACCTTCTTCTTCTTGTTAAAGGTGCCCTTGTCGTCCTCCATTGCTTTTGATGGTTTAGTTGTGCTACGAATGAGACTCTTAGGTTGGAGGCCGCTAGTAGTAACAAGTGCATCGCGACTAGTTGCAAAAGAATAGGAAACCATCCGACAGCCGTCGGTCCGTGCGGTCTCCGGACCCTTTCGGCAAAAAAAAGAACGGTCCTCTTCGCCCAAAAGCAGCGAGGTGCCAGAAATGGGTTTGTGTCTCAACGATCTGCTGATCGCAACATTGAGATTGGCCTTGGGAATCGGAATTCCGGGTTCTGAGGCGTCGATTTCGGTGGCTCGATCATGAAACTCAATCAGTGGAGATGCGAGACTTCAATGCCTTTACAAACTCATCCTTGGTATCTCATGCGCACATGTTGTTTTGTGTCTGTTTGCATTTGTCATGCCGATGAAATGCAGACAGACTACAGTCTGCCATTGCTGAAGGGCATCATACCGCAGATTGTCCTGAAAAAGAAATCAATCAAGTTCACCAAGTAAGTCCGATTTGAACATGAGTGCACAAACTTCAAACAACTTGCGGGCAGTGTGCTCTGTACGCTTGAGAAAAAAAAGTGCCTACTTGCATCAAGTTGATCAAAAATTGGGATCGCCAAGTGCAATCGATCTCGGAAAACTGAAAGTGTTCTGTCAGGAGATTGGACACAATCGATCTCGGAGACGGTGTTTAGCAGGAAGAAGACAATGGCAACTCCGCCAAGGGATGTTTGTTTGTTGAAACCACTGGTGTCGACAGACATTTATAACACAAAACAAACCCAAGTTTAGAACTAAAAACATCTGCGCAAAAAAAACATCTGCGCAAATAAAAACGGCCGTTGTGGGGAGAATTGCAAATGAAGCAACAACTATCGTCGGTAGTTTTTGGAGGCGCATGGTGACTTCAAATTAAATTGGTGGTTTACATTGCTGCCAACATTTGTGCTGGTGCTGCTGTTCCTGCTATCATCGCCGTTGTTCCCAAATGTGATTCTGGTTGCGAAGGTGCTGCAAGTGCAATCTGGGTCTTGAGGATACTGCGCGATAGCACAATGTATAGCGTGAGTCGAAAATTGAATAATCCAGTTTAACAATAAAAACAAGAAAAGTGAAAAAACAATCACAAACATACTATCCAGCCTGATGTGGTACTTACAGGAGTGGCCCCGCGTGCGGCTTCACAGTTATGGCCACATGTGGCCACGCCTTCGTGTGGAAAGGCCCTGCTCACCCGGTCTATAGTCGGCAAGAGTACTTGACTGGCGGGGATCGAGGTGTTTTGGACTCCGCCCTCGCACCTGCAGTTCTCCATTCTAGCGTTGCTTCGGTTTCCTTCTTGAAGTAGGGCTATGTGTCCGCGGGCTTTCTGTACGGCAGCTGCGATCGCACGGTATGCCAAAAACAAGGCCGTAAAGCCTCAGCTGGACGTATTGACCACGAAACCTCAACTTCCTTGTGAAGATATTTTGCGTATGTTCCCTGCCGTATCGCCCTTTCCGACAGTACGATGCAGTTCAGCCTCGACCCTGACATCCCGGGAAAAGGTGGAAAAGGTATTTGCAGCGCCCTTGCCAATGCGTCTACGTGCAGGGAGGGCCCTCGTAGTGCCACAAGAAATAAAGAATTGCATTAAAACAAAATAACCAAGAGAAATCGCTGCAAATGTCCTTTATTGATCGATATTTATCTCAACTGAACCCTATAAAACCGACACACGAACTTCGAACTTTTTACCCACGCCTCCGCCACAAGGCCTTCACCACCTGTGATGATCACTTGCATGAAAGTTTGAGTACAAAAAGAGCGACCAGCCATGCAACGGCATGGTGTAGTCCACCACAAATATCTCGAACAGTCTCGAACTCGAATTACTGAAATGATCTGAAACTGCAGCACCGATGAAAACCAGACATCTTGGCACAGAAAAATGTTTCGAGAGACCAGCATAGGGGTTCTCCCACTGTTTGAAATGTCTATATCACTCTCTGTCAAAGCTTCGACATTGGCTAACGGTTTCTGCTTCAAGAATCTTCAAGAGCTTTTCGGAAAGCTTAAGGGAGATGGCCTCCAGAATACTAGCGATGGCCTCCAACCCAAGAGCTTTAATGATCTTTATGTTCTCTTGTGACTCAGTGGGAACGACTATGGCAAGTCGCCGTTCTCAGTGTGGACTGCGAAGACCCCCACGACGCGCTCCTTGCCAAGGGCATCACCTGAGCAGCTAAGGCCTCAAAACCTAAGGCGGCTAGGTAATTTAGGTCTCAACATGACTTGAGACGTCCTTAAGAATTTTCAAGGACAAAATAGTAGCGTGATTGCTCCTAGTAGTAAGGCCAGGAGCCCCTAGTAGCGTCCTTGCTCCTAAGAATTTTCTACGTGACTTGAGACGTCCTTAAGTTTCCAAAACAAATCTAGGAACCATTTTGGCTCCGGCTTCTTCAAGCCCCGCACCCTTAGGTGCTGGGAGCTTCCTTGAAGAAGCCTGGGCCCTTGTAGCGACTTACCTACTTATTTAGCTCCCACCTGAAGGCCTACCCGGCCTACTCAGCCCCAAAAGGAAACTCTATAAAAAGGAAAACTCATCTCTGCCTCTCTCATTGCGACTTAGGTCTTGGAGCCCGTTATGCGTGCGTTTCCTCACACCGAGAAGCAAGTTCTCTTGTAGAGCTCCTGTGAAAAGATTGGCCCGTTCTGCGGCCAATTTTTCACAAAATCAACCTGAATTGCACGATTAAAGTGGTCACGTTTCAACAGCTATCCTTTCTTCGCAGCTATTCTCATCCACAAAGTATCAAGCTAAGGCCATAAGGGTGTTGTGTCAGAGAGTTGCTGGGTGGATTACATGCTGCTTGCTCCGTTCGTAGCGATGCCCTTTGCTCCTAGTAGCGTGCTTGCTCCTAGTAGCGATGCCAGGAGCCCCGTTCGTAGCGTCCTTGCTTCTCACTATGCTATGGTGTCTGACCACGCCGATTCATGCTAGGCCTCAGTGTGGGGAACGGGAACGGTTCAGGTTCGGGTTCGGGTTCGCGCGTCGTACATAATGGGCCCTTGAATCACGTTAAACTGCATCAAAGAGGTTGCAGGCGGCCTCCTTTCTGTGAGGTTCTTTAGCAGACTTTGGTTGCAGCACATGTTTGACCGCTGTTGGACCTCAAAAACGTGTAAACAATTGTTAGCGTCCTTGCTCCTAGTAGCTTCTTGCTCCTAGTAGCGATGCCATTTGTTCCTAGTAGCGATGCCAGGAGCCCCTAGTAGCTTCTTGCTCCTAGTAGCGATGCCCTTCGTTCCTAGTAGCGATGTAAGTTGGCAAAACAATCCAAAGTCGTCAAGCCGCAAGAGCACGGTGAATCTGATCGATTGACCGCCGCCTGCCCCGGACACGGAGCAGAACATCCAGGCGGAGGCGGTATGCCTGGCAGCAGGTCCTTTGTTCGCACAGTTTTCCGTCTACTCCTACTCTTCTTTCCTTAGACCCTTCGTCCTGTCTTTCGTCCTTTTTCTTTCTGTCTTCGTTCTCTTTAGATCTTGATAATTCTTTTCTTCCTTCTTTGGTTGCAACCCATGATACACTCTCTTGCACAAAGCTCGCCTCAATACTCAGGGGCACTCCCTTGTCCTTCACGGCCTTCAGTAAGCTCATGGTCCTGACTGCATCAGCAACCTGGAAAAGCAATGAGATGGGTTCAAATCCAGGCAAACACAACATTGGCGATCACCGGGCCTTCACATAGGATTCAGCCATGGCATAGAACGGAAGCCTTTCTCACGAAAGCAACAAAATTAGCCCAGCTGGAGACCCCAATAGCAAGATACAAACCGGGACAAAAAGAAAAATCTGGAAACAGCTGCTGTTTTCAACACATCGACCATCTCTTCCTTGGACACCATCATCACATAACCGGGACACCATAAAAAATGACCAGGGCACCATCAAAACATGACCGAGACACCGTCACAACATGATTGGGACACCATCACAACATAACCGGGACACCATCACAAGGTGAGCGGCACACCAGCATGACATGACGGGGACACCATCACAACATGACCGGGACACTATCACAACATGACCGGGACACCGTCACATGACCCGGACCCTCAAAACATAACCGGCACACCGCCAAAACATGGCCAGGACACCATCACAACAGGACCGGGACACCATCAAAACATGACCGGGACACCGTCACAACATGAGCGAGACACCATCAAAACATAACCGGCACACCGCCAAAACATGACCAGGACACCATCACAACAGGACCGGGACACCATCAAAACATGACCGGGACACCATCACAACATGACCGGGACACCATCAAAACATGACCGGGACACCATCAAAACTCGACCGGGACACCATCACAACATGACTGGGACACAATCAAAACATGATCGGGACACCATCAAAACATGACCGGGACACCATCCGCCCACCAGCTCTGACGGTGACCCGACGGCGCCCGTCCGCCTATTAGTTTTGCAAGACCCCAATAGCATGGCTATTGGGGAACTAGATCAGCTCAAAGCTGCAAATGGGTTTGATGCCAAGCAAGGCCAAAATAAACCGGTTCCTTTTGCTATTAGGTTGGAGGCCATCGCTCCTAGGGTGGAGGCCATCGCTATTAGGTGCCTTTGATGCCAAGAAACCCAGCATCACGCGGATCGATGGGATCTCCAGTGACGTGCATCCGCTCGGCTCTAAGGTACAATTTCAACCATCTCAACATCTGATACCTGGGCAAGTAGGAGCAAGAACGCTAGTAGCTCCTGGCCTTACTACTGGGAACAAGAACGCTACTAGGAGCAAAGGGCATCGCTACTAATGGGCACATCACACCACTTCACCCACACGACGGAGTTCTTTTGCTTGTGCCCCCTCTTCATCTCGGCTCCAATGGCTTCTGGATGAAACTCGATGGTTTGCCCCCCTCTTTGCCAAGGCTCCGGTTCCCTATGTGCTCCCAGGCCTCAATGACGCCTCAGCTTCGAAGTGAAGCTCAACTAGCTCAGCTTGCAAGTGTCCCGAACTTCGGAACTCGCAAACTTAGGAACAAGTGCCACGCTGGTAGTAACAGGTGCCTTACTAGTAGTAACAATGTTTGCTATTATATAACTTAAATTTAGATTTAATAGCTTCTTGTTACTACTAGTAAGGCACTTGTTACTACTAGCGTGGCACTTGTTACTATTGTCCCGAACTTCGGAACCGAACTTGCTAATTCGTGTCTTTGTTTGCTTGGTGTTCTCTTTGGTTTGGGCTCTAGCAATGATCACCCTTCGCAAGACCGACCACCTGGTTCGAATTAAACATAAGTTCCTGCACTGACAATATCGTCGGATGCTACGCAGCAAGTGTATGGAAAACATAAGCGATGATCGTGAAAAAAGAAACCAATTGCAGGGGCAACTGTTACCATTCCCGTTGTGGGTTTGGCTCTCCCAAATCCTGGTCATTTCTACCATTACGACCACTACAACTACACCTGCTGTATTCCTACTCCTACTACTAACCCGGTCACAACAACGACTACGACTCTACCGACTCTACTATCAGCTTTTTGCCTTTGGCAAGTTGGAGTGGGCATGCTCTCTCATGCTGCAACGCGATTTCTTGAAATCATTGATGTTAGGTTTCACTCACTCACTTGAGAAGGTTGCTCCGTGGAGCGTGATTTCAGGTAGCTTCGCGGTGTGCATTAGCCCTTTAAATCTAGATACTGCAGGAAACAACGTATGAGACAGCGTTGCACCGACTTAGAAATCTCAGCGATTGAACATCAAAATTAGTATTTAAATTGCAGGTACGTCACGGTGATCAGCCGTGATATCCTAGTCAACTGCATGGAGCTTCGTTGGCGACAGCCATGCAGCGACTCTGTCGCCCCCTGCTTCTGTACAGAAAAGCTTGTAGGGTAGATTAGAAAAACTAGGGTAGTGTCCTTGGAAACAGGAGTGGACACACACACTGAGCCGTATCGGCGCAACTAGATCGGATCAGGTAAGGCCTGGATAATAAATAGTGGAAGTGCTTGACATTGAAAGGTTCAAACTGTAAAATACATATCACAGCAGTCTGCGAAGGTGCCGGCACATAGTCTTTTTCCTCTTGGCCGCAGCGCCGCGGCGCAGTGTGCTGGTGAATGGCCTTTGGCCATATATAGCTGCATCAACTTCTGTGCGGTCGTGTGGGCGAGATGTTTGGGGTAAGTGTATTTTTGTAGTGTGTGGTGGCGTGATTGTAAGCCTGAAAGGCGTAGTCTGTGACTCCCTGCTGACTGCGGATCACGAATCTGCCAGGAGTGGGTGGGGAGTTGGAAGGTGACGGTTCTGTTGAGAGGGTCAATCAAGAAACCGAGTAGATGGTCGTCGTCCACTGGCTCTATTTCAACTGGTTGTTCGTAAAATTCAGGATGGGCCAATGTAGTGATGGGGAGTGCTGATCTGTATTGTTCGTTGAGCAAGATGTATCGGTTGTCGACGTAGCGAGTGTTGAGCAAGTGAAGGCTTGGTTGGTGTAAGAAGGTGTGGTATGTGGTTTGCCAAGTGTGTTCGATGAGCGTGATTGCCACATTGCAAAGTGCTGGTGAGAGCTGACTGCCAATGCCGGCTCCTTGAATTTGTTTGTAGTAGGTGTTGCAAGCTTGGAAAATGCATGAGTGAAGAGCTTGTTGAACGATAAGAGGAATGTGTTGTGTGTCAAGTGTGCGTTGTTGTGGGTGGTGGATGTAGTGACGACCGATGTGTGAGTGTTGGATGGGGTTGCCGGTGGACTGGACATCGATGGTGATGGTAGTGGTGTTGTGTTGTGCTTTCCAGCGGTTGCACAGGCTGATGACTGCGTCGACAAGGCGTTGTTGAGGTACGCTGTTGAAGAAGCCGACAAGGTCGTCGTTGATCGGTGTGAGGTGGATGTCTTCGGGTGTGGTCTGGAAATGGTTGTGGAGGTGTTGCCAAAGGTTGGGTATAGATAATTGGCCTGGATGTTGGGGTAGAAGATGAAGGAGCATAATGTCTAGTGCTTTGGAGGTGGCTCGTAATAATGTGCCTGCGATGGATCTGAAGTAGCTGATGACTGTTCTACCCTTTCGCCAGGATTTCTTTTGTTTGAGGAAAACTACTCCATGTGGTGTTTAGAATTTTGTGCGGAAGCCCCAGGGGTATGCTTTGCGGATGCTGGCTGGGAAGGATTGTGTGAGAAATTGGTGGAGTTGTTGGGCTGTGAGATCTGGTAGTGGGAGAAAAAGTTGTGGTGTATTCCATGTGGTGAGACATCCGTGGAAGTAGTGCCGTGGGCAAAAGAGTCGCAGGTTTTGTAGTTCATGGTCTGCATGATGGAGTACCAGCTTGTCTGTAAGAAACTGTTGAAGCTGTGTAACGTTGCGGGAGGTAAAGCGGGGCGTGTATAGAAGATTGTCGATGTGCTGTTTCCATTGTTGGTGTAGAAAAGGTAGGCTGTGTTGATGGAGGGCAGTGGGTAGACCATGGTGTCGTAGCCAGTGAGTGAGTTGTTGTTCAAAGTGTTGGAAATATTGCGTCTTTGTGGGAAAGAAAGTGCTGTTCATGTTGGCTTGTAGGAATAGCTCAAGATGGCTGGGGAGCTGTAGGTCTTCAAGTGTGAGTACGTAGTGACCATCGTAGAGCGGCGGTGTGTGGTTGGGACGAAGCAAGGTGTGCATGTGGTGGCAGCTGCATGGCATGTCAGCGGCTGTGGGATGTGTGGAGAAGAGTTCTTCCCAACGTTTGTGGTTGTAGAGCCGGGAACGCAAAGTCTTGTGTGCTGCTTCGCGTAGTTTGGTAGTAGGGGGGTGGAAGGGAATGACGTGATGCATGTGGTGTTGGATCAGTGTGCGAAGCCATTTTTCCGTGGAAGACGAGAAGGTATTGTGGGAGAGGAAAGGAATGGTAAAGGGTTTGTTGGCTTTGGGTGGAGTGAGATTGCGAAAGCTGAGTGCTGAGTGGAGAAGGTGAAGAACACGTGATCGATCTGGTTCCTCCAAGCTGGCGGCCATTCGACGGAAAGCGTAAATTTCAAGATCAGTGTATTTGCCGCTGCGGATGGCTGTTGATGTTTGAAAAGATGAAAGTGTATGCTTGCTGAGCTCGCGTAAAACTGTAAGGGCGTGTAGGCGTTGACTTGTGTGAAGGTGGGGTTGCTTGATGGTGTGTTGTCGTCGTCGGAGCCGTTGGAAGAGACGTTTGTGAGTGGACATCCGTGTGAAAGCGGTGCGATGTTTTGAAAATTGCCAACCTGAGGCTTTGAGTTTGAGGTGTCTTTGGATATAGGGCCAATTGAGTGTAGGTTGCCATTCTTGGATCCGCAGGTGCTCGTAGGTCCATGCTTGATCATAGGTGTCGTGATGGGAAAGGTAAATAGTGCTGTAGTGGTGGAGGTTGTTCTTGGAGTGCCAGTAGCGTAGAGAAAGTTCAGCTGAAATGGGGTGGTTATTGTGTAATTGTTTGAGTTTTGCGTGACGATTGTATTCTCGCTTGGGGATAGTGATGCTGGTAGAGCCGATGTATGTATGTCCATGTTGGTGGTACTGGTGTCTTGTGTGATGTTGGTTGAAAAAGAGCTTGGCATAAACTGCATTGGGATGTGTGAACATTTGGTAGTGATAAGTGTGTGGTGTAACTTGTAGTTGGTTGAAACGGGAGCGCCATTGTATAGAGTGATGTGTTTGCGAAGGAAAGGCAAAGAGGCATGTAAGGTGAATAAGACTGACAGAAAAAATAGCGTGTGACTTGTCAATGTAGGGTGTGAAATGGACAAAGTGTGATAGTGCTGTGTGTAATGTTGTTAGGGATTGTAGGGTGTGATGTGTTGGTTGATGCAGCGCTTGTTATACGAGTCAGGCTGCCAATGCCGAGCCCGCGGCGACCAGTTGCTGTAGTGAACGTGGGGGAAGCTTGAGAACCCGAGCCAGCGGGATGCCGTAGCGGGTAGCTGCTTCTTGGAGTTGTTCTTTGGTGATACGTTCATCTCGTAGAATCTGCTGGATGTTGGTGACTTGTGTCTGAGTGGCTGGTGGTAATGTCTTGAGCCATTTCTGAATGCCAGCTGCTGCATAGTTGGCTGGTGAGTTGTCATGGAGTGTTTGTGTGGTGGGATTGAGAATGGTCGTGGTTGTGATGGCGGTAGGGGCTGGGAGGGGGAGATGCGGTGTGTGGGTGGCGGATGATGGGGTATGGTGTGACCCTGGCTTGGTTGGTGTGAGTGCGATGCCATGATTCTTCAGCTTGTCGCGAGCGCGCTGGAGTTCGCTCTCTTGTTGTTGTAAGCGATCTGTCTGTTGCTGGAGCTTTCGGAGTGCTGTGCCTTCGCCGGCTGGTGGTGTAAGGCCTCGTAGAAAGTCAATGATGCGAGAAATAAGTGGTTGCATGAATTGTTTGGCTTCTGTGGTTTTGTTTGGAATGGACTGATCTGCTTGTTGGTGCAAATATTCAGCGATGTTGTCGATGTCCAGGTTGTGGGCCCTCATCTCTGGCAGCAATTGTGAAGTGAAGACCGCCTCCGCGATAGATCTGGTGGTGACAATGCCTGTGTAGCGTCCTTGGGACAGGATGCGTAGGCTGTGGTCCTGGAGGCCAAAACGGCTGAGCTGCCATGGGAAAATGTCGAGGACTTGTTGTCCTGCGAGGTTGTATTTCCTGGACCACTGCGTCGGCTGAATTGTCCGAAACAATGTGTGACCATGTACGGTATTGGTATCCAAATGTGTGTCGCTGGGAGTCCATGTGTCAGGTAGGTTGGGGATGTTGGGGGGTACCACACCAAGCTGTGGAGGCGTTGGGTGGTGAGATGCTGCGGGTGGGGGCAGGGGTTCAGGTGGAAACGTTGCTGGTGGTGCTGGAGAGGCAGTGGGTGGATCAACTGGAATGTTGGCGTGATGTTGATGATGCTGGTGATAGGGGTGTTGGTAGTGATGACGAACTGCATTGGTGAGAGGTCCATAGCCGGCAGTGGGTGTCGTGGTGCCA